GGAGGGAAAAATCACCCCTGGTTGAGAACCACTGAGCTAGACAGACCAAGAAAAGAGACAGATGACACAAATAACAAAAATCAAGAATGCAGAAAGAACATCACTTCCTACCCTACAGAAACTGAAAGGATTATAAGGGAATTATTATCAACAGATGTATGCCAACAAATTAGACGATTTACCTGAAATGGATAATTATTATGTTTCTAGAGAAAAAAATTAAGGGTAAATTACAAACAGTATCATGCATGCTGCAAATAAGTAGTACATTATTAAAGACAGAAAATGTAATGCGTCCAAGGAAAACTAGCACTAAATTGTGGAAATACATATTTCAACTATGTAAACAGGTATTGTAGGAGTTTGGTGTTATTGTTGTTTTTTTTTTTTTTTTAATTACAAGTAGTACATTTAAATTATGAGTAGCATGTGCTTACTGCAACAATTCTAACTGTAGAAAAGTACCTTAAGTAAATTAGGAACTTACCTCATTCCCCTCCATTTCTATCCCATTGATAACTACTGCTAAACATTTGGTATGCATATTTATGGTTTTGTTTTTGCTTTTTTGCCTTGCTCATACAAACATTACACACATTTATAATGATTTTGTATAAAAATGAGTTTACACATATAGTTATATAAGCCAAAGAAACTTGCTTTTTTACTTAATATGTTAAACTTAGGACTCCAGAAACAATGCATATAGTTCCACATACAATCTGTATGTTCCATATAACACAAATAACTCACTGATAATAGCTGCATAATATAGTTTTAAAGTTCCACAATTTGGCTACATCAAAATTAATTCAACCATTTTCTCACTGATGGATATTTAGGTTGTATCTTAGTCTTTGATAGGCAAACAATGTTGCAAAACATCCTCACACACTCTCTTCTATACTAGCATTTTTATTTCAGTCAAACACATTCCTGAGAGTCAACCAGCAAGTGCACTTTAAATTTTAATAAATATCGCCAGATTCTTTTCTTCCAAGTTAGTAATAATTACTGCACCACCAACAGTGTATAAGAATACCCTATTTTCCATGTCCCCAAAACAGGATATTATCATTTTCTAATTTCTGCCAACCTAACCAGTGAGAAGTATCTCTGTTGTTTTTATCAGTAATTCCCAACTTTCAAGGAGGTAAAGAACCTTTTCCTAGGCTTACTGGTTATTTGCATTTCTTCTTCCTTGAACTACAAATTTCTAACCTTTCTCTCTCAAATGGATAGCAAACAGGATCATCCTATAAATGATGACGGGACAATCTTCCACTTCTAACTTACACTGTGTTGACTGCCTAATCCAAGGTACTATAAACAAAGTCCCTGTATTACACAACTCAGGGGACAGTGCTTAGGGGCTGGTCCCCCAGTGGTGAGTGGCATAGGAGAGGGGCAGTCTGGGTAATGGTACACTTGGGGCATTTTCAGTGGTGATGCTGGAGTAGGAGGGCTTCCAGGCTGTGATGGGAAAAGTCTGCAGCGGCAGAGGCAGGGTACACAAGTGTTATTTATGTGTCTGAGGAATTTGTTTTCTTTTGGTTTTGTTGGTTTTGTTCTGAAGAGGTATTTCATATAACAATACAATGAATATCCTTGGTATGTCTAACTTTGCACTATTACAGTGTACATCCTTGCATATAGACCTTGGTTGATAAGCACAATACTTCCAAAGGCTAGAATCCAGTTAGTGACTTCCTGAATTAAAAAGTACAGGCACGGGGCGCCTGGGTGGCGCAGTCGGTTAAGCGTCCGACTTCAGCCAGGTCACGATCTCGCGGTCCGGGAGTTCGAGCCCCGCATCAGGCTCTGGGCTGATGGCTCAGAGCCTGGAGCCTGTTTCCGATTCTGTGTCTCCCTCTCTCTCTGCCCCTCCCCCGTTCATGCTCTGTCTCTCTCTGTCCCAAAAATAAATAAACGTT